CAACACAAAATTCACCATTTTAATTGTTGTTTAGAAGGTTTCTTTTCCTTTTATGTGTGAGAGCTTTGCCTGCATATATGTGCACCATGTGCCTGCAGAAGCCTTCAGAGGCCAGAAGAGGGCATCAGATGGCTTTGAACAGGAGCAGTTGTGAGCAGCCCTATGGGTGCTGGGAACCCAACTCAGGTCCTCTAGAAGAGCAACCAGTGGTCTTGACCACAGGGTCATCTCTCCAGCTCTATTTAAAACTTTTAAAGTGTGTGAAATTCGTTGTTTCTTGGTATATTCTGTCACCATCACCACTATATAGTTCCAAAACAGTGTCATAATTGCCCCGTTCCCCAAAATTATTATCGCCCCTGTTGTCCCCTTTCCCCCTGCTCTCGGCAACTGCTAATTTGTTTCTAAATTTTCCTATTCTGACTGACTCACAGAATTATAAAATCATGACTTCTGTGTCTGAGTTCTTTAACTTAGTGACATATATATTTTTAAGATTCATCCATATTGTGTCATCAACTAGTGTGTCATTTCTTTTTATGGTCAACTAGTACCCTATTGTATGGCTCTGCCATACTTTATCCATCCATAAGTTAAATGACATTTGTGTTGTCTTAGCTTTTTGGCTATTATGAATATTGTTTTTATGAATATTGATGTACGAGTTTCTAGATAGACATGCTTTCATTTCCTTGAGTATACATCTTGAAGTGCAGTTGCTGGGTCATATGGTAATTTTATGTTTAACTCTTTTAGCAAATGCCAGACTGTTTCTAAAGTGGCTGTCTCCTTTTACAATCCCACCAGTTTTCCATTATTATTTCCATAATATTTTCCATTATTAATATTCCAATAATATTTCCATTATTATTAACACTTATTAACTCCCCCTTTTTTCTGTTTGTGGACATCCTCAGTATAAAATTGAATATCAGAATATAGTTCACAGTTGCCCAGTGACTGGTGCTGAGTATCCACCATTTATGTGCTTACCAGCAGAGCCTGTGTTATTGTTGTTGTTGTTGTTGTTATTATTATTATTATTATTATTATTATTATTTGATTAAAACTTTTTGTTTGCTAAGTCCCTATTGTATGGTCAGTTGTATCATATGGGGCAACCTCTAAGCAGGCCATTGGAGCACAGTAATATGAGAGAGTATAATAAATATAGCATGCATGATGTGGAAAAGGCCTCAGAGGAGGACAGAGGAGATGAGTGCAGGCAGAACAGAGTTTGTGAAACACACAAGGAAGGAGGAGGGCATGAAAGAACATGGAGCCTGTGTGTGTGTAGGGGTGGGGCCTTCAGTCATTATTGTCATCAGGTGAAGGGCGCTCCAGGCCGTCCCCCATCCCAAGCCACGCAGTTAGGCAGGTCTCCAGCTCATGAGGCAAGCCAGCTTCACGCCTCAACTAGCATAGGGTGCTGTTGTTTTCAAGGTGTGATTATTGAGCTGATTGTGTCTCCACTGGTGGTCAGTTTTACAGCCTCATTACAACAACAACAATAAAATGTGACCAGTAGCGAGATAGGACTCACCCAACTTCCCACATTATAGAGCTGGACATGGAATCCAGGGCATGTGACTCCATAATTGCAAACTAAACCTTAACTCATCCTAACTTGGCACTCAAGGCCATTTATTCTCTACTTTGAAGTACTGTATTTTTCTTCCTCCCCTCTGTTTCCTGCCTGTAACTGAATCACCTTTTAGGGATCCATGCAAAAGCATCTCACCCCATCTTTTCTGTTAGACCTTCTATTCTTCCATGTTCTCCCATCCAAGTACTTGCTTAGCTCCCTGGACCAGACAAGATCAGGTGCACTGAGAGTGGTGTGGCTGTAACTGAAGTCCAGGTTCTCATGCCCTTACATTGTCATACTTTCATGTACACCAAACTCTTCAATACTGTTTATTTTCCTCACGTTCTTAACATACAGAATTGTTAGTCTTCACATCATGGCAATGTGAGTAGGAATTATTCACTTCAATTCACAGATGAGGAAATGGGGAAGAAAAACAACTTATCCAATCTTGTTACAGGCCACAATGATCTCTCTTGCTTGTGAAATCCAATATTCAAGTTTGGCTGGAAATCTTGAATTATCTTCTCATGAGCTTTTATTTTATATCCCTATCTGATTGCTCCTGCATCTCTTTCAAGGATGCAGCCTCAATTTTGCAGAGCATAATTCTCAAAACATATTAGCCTGAACTACACAATGGGGCTTCTCCTATATGCTCATGTTATTGCACTAACAATTGTGACCTTACATAATAGTGAACTCTCCAATATGTAGTCCCAGTTTCTTTTGTTCCTCCTTTGTCCTTGGGTCTGCCTGCATGCTGCAGGGATGCATAGCCTTTCTGAAGTAACCTCATTTCCCTCATTACATTTTGAAAGGGTGGAATGAGATGATCTGAGAACCATTGCTCATACAGTGCCCAGATTTGTAAGCCTGAATGACTGCCTCCTTCTACACTAACTCAACACCATCATTGGTCTGAACTGCTGTTTCACCTCTGAGAGGCAAAACATCGCTTGTTAGTTCCCATTTGGTGGCACCTCACAGTTTAAACTTGTCACACTGAGGACTGTATCAGGAAGAAGTCCTGTTGCATCCTCCCATCTGATCTTGGGCTCTCTCTGTCTCTCTATGTGTCCGTCTATCCCAGTCTTTCTGCTCCTCTCCCTCTCTCCTATCTCTCCACCATCCCTCTCCCTTCTCTCCCCCCCCTTTCTTCCTCCCCACTCCCCTGTGTGTATATGTACACGAATACCCTATACCAAGATAATTTCATTTGATGCACCCTCTTTAGGTTTTACATTTCAGCGGGCTTTTTGCCTTAGATTCAGCATTGATTTGTAGGCAGGAAGACATTGTTCTTTTAGAAATACTCAGGTCCCCTCTACCACATGTTTAACCTGCTGGAGGGGTTTTATAGATAAACAAAGATAACAAGAACACCAGGTCATTCTCATGAAAATAGAACCATGGAAGAGTCCTCTGCCCTAGGAGGAAGGGCTTTCCCCATCAGGGGTTGTTAACCAAGACCACATATTTTTCATGAGTTTTTCCTTTGTACTTCATATGCTACCTGTCATTTCTTTTTTTTAATTTAATATTTAGTTGCCTCTGCTTATGAAAATAAAATGATTCAGGCACACTGGTAATAGGAAGCATGACATCCCACTCACAAAGTGTCCAGTGTGCCAATCACAATTTGAAGAGTACTCTGAACCCTTGTTCTCTTCCCCCAGCTGTGTCATAGAGACCTGAGCTGGGCTAGCCTGAGGCTTTGCTCATCTTTCCCCTGTCATGGAGGAACTGGGGCTCACTCAGCACTTTTCAATAGAGGTCCCATTCTGACCAGCTGAAGCTGGATTTGAGAAGACTGCATTTGCATGCATTCTGAAATAGTTATGGATTATAAGCATCCTTCTCAGACTTACTAGCAAGTTGTGTGAGGAGAGAAGCCTGGCTGGGGAGAGACATGAGGGCATGTTTAACACTTGCATGTATTCACATGTATGCATGCATGCATGCATGCATTCTCCAATGCATTCAAGAGCATGTGCGCACACGCGCGCGCATACACACACACACACACACACACACACACACACACACACACACAGGAGATTGCATATAGCCAGCTCCTGGCCACATGCCACATGGGCAGCACACTAGAGAATGCATTTAAGGTCCATGGTGGGAACGTTTGGGGAGCATAAGAAACAGAAATTCCCAGAGTTTCAATTCTATCACAGAAAACAAACTATTTTACTACTAAGGACCATTCTCAGAGTAGGTTCAAATTTCTAACTGTATGGCTTTCCTGTTTGAACTTCTGGCTTCCACAGTGAGAGACAAAATTAGCAAGTCCATTTTGAATCCTGCACAGGAGAAAAAAAAAAAAACAACAAAAAAAAAACTCTTAGATTCTGTGAGATTAGGTTAAGCTGTGAGGAAAGGCGAGCCAACAGGTTCGAATTTGTGGTACTTCTCAGTACATGTTATGAGTACATAAAAACACAAGACAAGACACCAGAGCCATTTCCCACTCCTGGCTCTTCCTCAGACACACTTTGGAGGAGCCTGGGACATCCCTTGGATTTGAGTTCTCTCACCTGTGAAGTGAGAGTTAGAGCAGCCAATCACCAGGGTCTGTTAGACCCCCGCCTTCTGACATTTGTGCTGTTGAGGAGGAAACATACCTTCCTTTCCTCATCCTGTCTATGTGGGGCTGGGGAGCTCTCTGTCCTTACAGCGTTGGTGTCACCTTAAGAAGAGCTGCCACTCCTCTTATGCCTCTTGATGACCAAGCCACAGAAACCAAGTTTTCTCGAGGAGAGGCTTGGTGTAAAAATGTCTTGAGTATTGAGAGATTCACCTGTCAATTAAGTTCAGACCAGGTATCTCAGTTACTTTTCTATTGCTGTTACAGAATACCATGATGAAGGCAATTTATAAGCCAAGAGCTTACATCCATTCTGCCATAGAGAAACTAACTGAAAATGTCACAGGTTTTTAAAACCTCAAATTCTACCTCAGCTACACACCTCCCCCAGCTACCCCCCACTCCCCCCCTAATCCTTCCCAGTTCTACCAACTGGAGACCAAGTATACAAGCATGACCCTATGAGGGCCATTCTCATTCAAACTGCCACACCAGATGACAGTCCAGGGATTATCTAGCTCCAAGATTCTAGGATTCCATAAAAGGCAAACTTTTAGATGGATATGCAGAAACCCCTATGCAGACTCATTTGGGTGCTGTTTAGCACTTTGCATGTGGTTGATTGGCACACACCCTAGATGCTAGATGCTGCCTTTAGGAGCTCTCTGTGCAGGTTACAATAGTCCCTGGGTTTGTCGCTTTTCCTTTTTAGCTGGTTTGGCCTCATTTATTTTCTAGGATTTGAGGTTTTGGACTTTTTGACTATTTTGACTCATAGTCAACCTTGTTCTCTTGGTATGCATTTTAGAAGACAAATCTGACCTTGAGAACAGTGTGATGCAGAAGAAAATAAAAATCCCCAAACTTTCTCTCAGTCATGTAGAAGACGATGGGGAGGCTAAAGACTATGGGGAAGAAGATTCACAGCTTCGACACATCAAGGTAACAAAATCTTTGCTATTCTTTAACGTTCATGGGAATGATTTCGTATTTCTCAGAGCTAAAGAATTCCAGTCTGGCCTCATTCCCCATATAAATGTCCGTTGGTGGCATAGGCCATGGGCTTTTGGGGGGGTGGGGGTGTAGGATGCTTGAGACAGCAATTGCATTTTCCCTATTCAGAGAATCCTCATTTAGACTACCTCCAGGCACAATCCTGTGGTAGTGTGTGCAATGTCATGGCTGCTGGAGATTTAGAACAACGTGCTTTTCCCTGGCATATAACTCTAGAAAGGTCATTACTGAATTACATGGACATTAAGGAGATGTTGGTCTTGGAGTCTGAGGGTGGACTTGCTGTGGAAAGATATTGGTAAAATTCACAGAGGGCATTTATGGGATCCTGGGTTGCATGGAAATTTTTCATGAGTTTGCATTTCCTTGTTATGTGCCCCAGCTGGTCACTCACTATATGAAAACAAACAAACAAACAAAAACCCTGCTGGAAATCTTGATCAGCAGTCTAGCTGTCTATCTAACCCTTACCCCATCCTGTGTGTATCCCAGAGAAAGGATGAGGGAGGTGAAGAAAGGTAACTTTGGCTCTGTGATATCATTTGGGACACAAGGTCAAGCACATCCCCAGAGTGTCATCTAAAAGATGTGGTCAGTTCACTGCATGACATCCATTACACCCCTGCTGTGTCTCTGGCTCAGCGCTGGCTCCTGTTGTCATGGAGTATAGCCATGTAGTCCCTGTACCCAGAGTTCTCACAGTATAGTGATATGGACAGATGTTTAAGGTGATCATTACAGTTTTAGCAGATACATTCATCTCTTCTTTATCTCAGCAAATAAAATGGCCAGGACTTTTCAGTGTTACTCAATCTCAAGTCATGGGTTGACTTCATTTTCATTACCTTTAAGTTTCTGTAACTTGCAAGTTGAGTCAGGCCCACCCTGTCATGGTTAAACTGGGCAGAATCTTGCATACTCTGTCTGTACCTCCTTGTGTACCTCTGGGAGAAGAAGTCATGACCCTTCAACTGTAGGTGAAGACTCAGCCACTCTGCTGTTCTGCCACCCACAGTGGGAGCTTTGTGCGTTCCTGCTGAAACTGCCTTAGCCCCTGGGTAGTGGTGGATCATCCCCTTTGTGAATGAGCCTTCCTTGCTCGTGCTGTCCTGCTGAGGGAGAGGCTGACAGATGTGAGCAAGGGACTCTGCTGGGAGTTGCACTCCAGACTCTGCCTCTGGCTCTGTGGTGTGTAACTCCCCATGCCACCCTGGGGATGGTCCGTCCCCTGTCTGGGGCTTGATTTGCTTACCTGCAACATGAAGAAACTGAAAGCACCCCAGTGCTAGCATTCTTTGAAGTTTTCAGTTGAGTAAACATTTCTCAGCCTCCTGCCAACTGCCAGTCCTGAGTGAGTAGGCAGTAGAGAAGCAGAGAAAACAAGACATATGTACTGCCCTAGATTAGAGTGGGTTTGGGTTTTGACGTCCTTCCAAACTGAAACAGTCTTAAAAAGGTTACAAGATAGAATTCCTTGCATATGTATGTTCTTGAGTGTGATTCCTTTGGAATGGCTTGGGCAAGCCAGATTGTCACCCAATCCTCTGAAAATCTACCCTGAACTCTCTCCCCCACCCCCATTAGTAAGTGACTGCCCAGGCACCACGGAGGCTATGGAGGGCTGGGAAATTTAGAAGAATGGTCCTGATATGTACATCCAAGAGGCCAAGTGCTGGGGTGGAAAAAGTAAAGTGTTAGCATGACAAGAATGACCTGCGTCTGCCACTACCTGTTTGTGTGACTTTTGGCAAGAGCACTCTGGGCCTCTGTCTCCTCATTTGCAAAATGAAGGGCTTTGACTGTGTCTGTAACAGGTTTCTCCAAGCACTGATGTTCTGTGGTTCTGTGATTCTAGGATTGTCTGGGGAAATATTGAGCTGCAGTCCAAGAAAGTCCCAGCTGCCCTTGCCTGAACTGATTCTCGTTGTCCTACACAGAGACCGGAGGGGCGGAAGCCTAGTGAAGCGGCCCACAAGAGTATCGAGGCAGTGGTGGCCCGGCTAGAGAAACAGAACGGCCTGAGTCTGGGTCACAGCACTTGTCCCGAAGAGGTTTTTGTGGAGGCCTCACCGGGAACAGAGGACATGGACAGCCTGGAGGATGCCGTTGTGCCCCGGGCTCTGTATGAGGAGCTGCTGCGAAACTACCAGCAGCAACAGGAGGAGATGCGCCACCTCCAGCAGGAGCTGGAGCGGACTCGGAGGCAGCTGGTACAGCAGGCCAAGAAGCTCAAGGAGTACGGGGCACTGGTGTCTGAAATGAAGGAGCTCCGAGACCTCAACAGGAGACTCCAAGATGTGCTGCTCCTGCGGCTTGGCAGCGGTGAGTGCCCAGGCAAGCCGCTTACAACTCCTCACAGTGGGAGGGGCACCTTCCTGCAGCTCCCCTTCCAGGAGGATAAAGGGGAGAAGCAGGTCAAGTGCCCTTGAGACTAGGGAAGGAGAGACACTTGGCTCAGCAGTCACCCAAAGGAGGAGTCACCCTCCTCTTTGTGAATATGATAGGAGGCCATGAATGCAGCATTGGCCACACTGGTAAGAACACTGGGAATGTGGCTCAGAGAACCAGAGTAGACAGAATGCTTGCTACTGCCCATTCAGCAAGAGGTTAGCACGGGGACTTAGGGTAGCCCTTCAAACAGACCTTAGGACAGTAAAGAGAACTGGACATGATCTGAAACACATACCGTTACTGTGAGCCAGAAAGTGACAAAGGGGAGAATCCTGCTAACATGACCAGAAGGTTGAGGGCATGAACAGGTTATTTGTAGGGGGTGGGGGGGGGCGAGTATATGGGAGAGACTTTAGGAAGTGCTTGGGTCTTGAAAGGTGGGCATTGTATCCAGACACCTGAGGAGTTTAAGGGCAGCACTCATGAGTATGGGAAACACACAGGACGTGCTAGGAAGGCTGCTGTAGATGTGGAGGGCAGACCATAAGGATGCTGAAAACTACCATCTTGGGTAGTCAGGGCTCGTTTCCGTGGAAATGGGAGGCATTAAATTGCTTTTGAGGACTGGGGGATGTAGCTCAGCAGTAGAGTACTTGTGTGGTATGTGCAGAGCCCAGAGTTCAACCCACTACAAAGCAAAACAAACAAGAAAGCTTTGTGCATTGGTATGTAGGGATTAGTATAAAGATACACAAAATTCCTTTGGTTTGCTCATAGGAGAGCCACCCTGGCCCTTAGGTTTTCTCATCTGAAGTGGTGTAGAGGCTGGAACGAGTGGATCCTAAAAGGCAAAAGACAGTGAGAACAGACAGAAAAGCTCCTGCAGAGTGTTAGCCTCTGGCAGCGTGAAAGATGGGGCCCAGTCAGTACTGATGCGGTTGCTCTGCCACGCAGTCACAGACTCCATGGCCTCTGTATCAGGGCGCTTTGCTCAAAATGGGGGGAGTAAACTAGGTTAGAAACATGGGTCCTGTCTCCAAAATGTCCAACTATGTCACTGGAGAAAGAAGGTCTCCATTGTCTAGATACAAGATGCACACTCATGTGGAGACTGATCCTTCAGTTTGTGGGGACAGGTCTGCTTCCACACTGCTCCTCTTCTATTTGCAGGTTGCCTCTTGCTTCTTAAGTGTGTCTTCATGGTGAGGTCTCAGGAGATCAGCCAGGGGCCTTTTCCTGACCTTGACACAGTGGAGCAAGCAGGCTAGGCATTACCAGAGACAGACCTCCAGCTCACACAGTGTCACCATAGTTAATGGGTTGCAAGGGTCCCACTCCCCAGCTCTGCCTTCGTCTTGGCTTTGTCCCAGACCATAGGTTCACTGTGACACTAAAGGTTACATGTGACTTTCAGACCCACAAGGTGTTTATTACAATAAAAGCTCAGTGAGAAGCCATTACTGTGAGAATTTAAGAAGGCAGTGTTGGTGCTGTAGTGCAGGTGGACACTGGAGATAGAATTCAGCTTTCCGGGAGAAACGTGTTTCCTGACCTCCAGATGGGTGGCTTTTACTTTGATTGTGGGGGCCTTTTGTGGACTTCTTCAGAAGAATGGGGAAGCACGCCAACAACTAACTCTTTCCACACCATTAGCCCAGCTCCAGGGGAAATTACCTGTTTTGCATGGTCCTGAACTGAGTTTAGGCTCCAGAAACCACCCTGTCCTTGAGCTGTAAGAAACCACATTTCATGCAGGCAGGTGCCTCTTTTCATCCTAAAACACTTGACAGTCAAACCTAACCCTGTCTATGTTTGGTGTCTTGGCCTTGCCAGGATTTCTCATTCTGCAGGACTTGAATGTCATCATGATGGCCAATGGCCATCTCTTCTCTGATGTGTCACTCTTGCTGTCACAATGAGATGGACTCCAGCACCATGCACAGATATGGCTTCCACCATGGCCACATGCAGAGCCCTGTGCTTTCAGGACAACAGGCTTCCTGGAAATCACACACAACCTTTCTCCATCTAGGAACACTTAAACTCCACTCATTAACATGTGTAAATAGACACTAAGACAAGTCCTTAATAATCAAATGGTCTCTGCCTACAAGGTTGTATATTTTATACAGGTCTGGATTCAAATTCCAACTTCCCTACATTCTAACTCTGTCTTTGGAAAATCCTTGTCTTCTTCTTTTCCTTCCTGTATAACACCTTCCCTCCTTTCCTGGTTCCCTTCACCAGTACTCACGGGTCTCCTCCTGTGCCAGGCATTGTGCCTATTGGTGGGCAGCAGTCTCATGTATTCAGAACACACACATACACACATGCACATACACAGAACGTGCACACATATAAAACACGGATGCACACACACGTGCATGCATATGTATGTACACCTTGCCTTCTGCTCTTGAGGATCTCACAAGCACAGAGGGCTATGGGACAGCAGAGATAAGACACCTTGTGATTGGAGGATTGGTTAAAAAAAAAAAAAAAAAAAAGCTGCCTGAAGGGAAAAAAAATAGGCTTGAAAAGTGAGTTTCTATGCAGGCAGGTATAATTGGGTGGTAAGAATGAGGTGCAATCTAGCCAGCCAGCAACTCTCTGAGTCTCAGTATTACACTCCTTACAATGGGGCTGGTGTCAGCCCCCCTTACAGCTTTGGGACACACAGCATAGTGTCTGGTGCTCTGTTGATGCTCACGTTCTATTAGCTACTCTTTTTTTTTTTTTTTTTTTTTTTTTTTTTTTTTTTTTTTTTTTTTTACATCATTCGGAAGGGAAAAGATAGGGTCTGTTTGGGATTTTAAAGCTGGCTCCGTCAATCAGTAATTGACCCTGTGACTTTAGGCAGGTTAACCAATGTCTCTGCCTCTCATTATCTTTTACGGTAGAGGATAACATGAGTTATAGATGTCTGTTTATTTCTTCGTTCAGCTACACAGTAACACCACTGGATATTTTCCAAGCTTATGGATTTGGGGAGATACAAAGAAGGCAAAAACATTGGGAAGTGGGCAGAGGGTGGGGTTGGAGGTGAATGTGTAAGGATATAATTAAAATGCAGAGTAGCCAGTTGTAGGGGAGGGTTATACATTTTGATCAATCTTCCCTGCTCCCCCGATTCTGAAAAAAATAGTTATTCTGTAAACACTACCTAGAACCAGGGCAGAGAAGAGCCAGAAAGTTCCACATGCCCTCAAAGGCCTGGGTTGGTATCAGGCCAGGCTTTCTTCTTGCTCTTGGAGGCCTCACCTGCCTTCCTCCCCTAGGGTCCCAGCTTGAGGTTCTTTGTCCACATCGGGTCTGGATCATTTATACCCTTGACAGGTAATTCAGAAACCAGGTTGGCTAATATGTCAGGAAATCTCAGTTTTGAGAGGATTTCTCCCCACATGGGAGGATCTCGAGTAGTGTGGTGGTCTCAAGATCGGTAACCCAGCCTCTTGAGAATCATGCAGATTCCTTGGCCATCAAAGGGTTGTGGTAGGGTAGCTCATGGAGGTGGAGGCGTACACTGTACACTGAGTGGACAGGGAACAGCAGGGTGACAGTCTCAGAGGCTCGGCTGGGTGACGCACTTTTCATTCGTATGTTTCCTCATTCATTCTTCTATCATTCATCCTCTGGAAATGTTAGATGTGTCTGGTGGGAAGGGTTCTCAACAGCATGGAAGCCTGGGGCTCTCTCTGGAAGAACAGACAGGAGGTGGGAGGCTGTCTTCACTTTGCTACTGAAGAAGCAAAACCACACTGGTCCAGTGTGCCTCTCTCAGGACCTTTACCCGCCATGGCTTTCTTTAGCACTTTGATGTCCTTGTCACCAACATGGGTGTGACTTCACCAACCCTCATAAAGGACCATCCGTTCCTTCTCTATGATCTTAGTCTGGAAAGCAACCCTTTCTGACCCCAGAGGCTCGTTTATCACAGTACTTGTACAAAATTGAACAAGGAAGCACTGTATGAGTCTGGCTGTATGTCCGGCACACAGTCAGTGTTCAGGAAATGGCAGCCTGACTCCCTTTTCTTCCCTTTCCTGCCCATCAGCCCAAAGAATCAAGGCTGAGAAATCTAAAAGCATAAGGACATTGTTACTTACAAGGCGCACACTGATTTATGGGATTATTTGTTCATTTATTCTTTCTTCCCCAACAGATGTTTATTGAGATAGTACTTTGGGCCAAGGCAGGGATAGATATTAGAAACCTAGAGATGAAAGGCAGAGACCTTCATAAAAAGCACTTGCAAGCTAGTGGGTTAGCATTTTCAAACTGGGGGATGGTGGCCTCCAGGGAGGTCATGGAGATAAGGTGTGAAGCAGAGCTGTTGGGATACAGGGAGCAAGGAGCACCTGTGTGAGATGGAACAGAGAAGGAGTGTTTCAGCTTCTCCTCAGCTGGTCCCTGTTCTTAAACTTTCTAATTACATTGTTTTTATTCACTTGAGGGGTGTGTGTGTGTGAGTGTGTGTGTGTGTGTGTGTGTGTGTGTGTGTGTGTGTGTGTGTGTGTGTGTGTGTGTGTGTGCATGTGTGTATGTATGTGGTGGGTCCCAGGGATATCGAACTCAGTTCATCAGGCTTGGCAACAAGTCCCTGTTTTTAATGCTATGCAGGGAACAAAGCAAGTTTAGGCAGCCTTCTCGCTCTCTTTCCTTTTGGTGTGAACCAAATGGCTTAAATTCAGTCCTTCTCCAGAGAACCCTGAGGAAGGTGAAGAGGAGGAGACTTGTCCTTGCCTTGAGGATGCACAGAGCTGTGTCAGGGGGCCACAAACATGGATGGATACCTCAGACCACACAGAGTAAAATCGGTGTTATAATTGCAGAGGGAGGCGGATAGCGATTTTAGATTTTGTGTGTTTTGTCAAGAAAAGTAGACACAGATGATGAGTTCTGACCAGCTGGGGGAGAGATAATGAGAATAA